ATGTTATTATTTTTGCATCATTTGCATCAGTTTATGTCACAATATAAATTGACCTAAAGACTTCAATTATGTAATTACAAAATTGACATAAACAAACTCAGTGACATAAGTTACAGCAGTTTGCTGGACTACTTCAGAAAAACAGTGAAACCCAAAATAAAGTTTTGTTCGTTGATAGAAGTCTGCAGAATGGCGGTCCAGAGACAAAGTTTTACTGTGTACTTCATTTTCCAGTTGCTTAGGTATCCTTGGCAAAAAATCAGGAGTCTTACAGTACCTTTTTCCAGCTAACAAACTTTATTCAAAGGCATAAACTTTTGTGAGCTGTAGCTCACCTCATCATCTTAACTCTTAGAGACTAGTTGTTAGGTAATTTAGGTAGTTTAATAGTCATAATAAAACATTCTGAACATTCAGTTCTTTTTTTCATAAGAGTTGTAGACATTCATAAAAAGAAGAGCTAAATACTTGGACTGCATTTGTGCTGGACATATTAAGGTTTTTTATAGAAAGAATTCATTTTACAGCTTTGTAACAGTCCCATTTGGGAAACGCACTAGAGATATTTGATCCCCTCTCTGTTCAAATTACAAATGATAGTTTCTCATATTATCACTCACTCTTGGATTAGTATGTTATTTCTGTAGTCTCTGTTGATACCATAAAATGAATATCATTGCATTTGTATTATAGCTTTAAAAAATCAAAGTAGGTTCCATATGGGGAAGCAGTGTTGAGAACTCCAGTTCTGCTTGTAAGAAAACAAGTTTTGCTTGTAAGAAGCTAGAAACTATTAAGATACTGAATCATATAATTTTGCTTTGTTTGTTTTATAGAATGTACTTTTATTGGTCAATGACCGAAATAAAGTTTCTGTCTACCTGTCATAGTCTTTGACATTAATAGGACATTCTTGAAAGTATACTAGTGGGTACCTTGGGGTCAAAGTATTGATCTGCTGTTAGATTTACAAATTCTGGGCATGTTTATAGTGAATTTAGTTACAGCTATAAATTGATGTGTGTGGAATTGGTAGCTTTAATCTTACAGAATCTCTGATGATGAAAATTAAGAACTCAGTTTAAGGGTCCTTCTCTGATCAGTTTACAGAGCAATATATGGATTATTTTTCATGTACTATTTGTCTTTGGGAAATATTGCAAATTTTCAAAATCTCCAAGAGTATTATTTGATGGGAATGTTCCCTTCAGCCAGTGTACCAGTACAATGTAATGTTTCACCCATTTACGCACATGGTGTAGGTGTCTATTGAGTATTTATGAAATCATTCATGAGTTTATATAGCTTCCTTAAAAACGAATCAAAGCAAGAAATTAAGGATGTCCTCCTTCCTCTAGCAGGACATAACCATCTTCTTACTAACCATTCCTACAGAGAAGCAACCAACTGCCAAATCCATTCTGTTTAAACGCAATATCTAGATTCGTGACTTTATGTGCTTTCTAAATAAAATATTGCTCAATTGGTGAATACCTTCAGTTCTTCTCATGTTTAGTCCAACCATAAGAAGTAGTAAGCAGCCTTTCCCCTCTTCTAGTTGTAGTTGTGTTGGTGATGTGAGTGGTAGGGTGGTCTCTTTATTTACAGCATGTTTGTGTTCACTGAGAAGCCAAGTTGTGAGTTGGAAGCCTAAGAGTGGAGGGTTCTTGCTCACATGGAAGCACTTGCATAGAGGACTTATGAAGTCATCTCCAGAGTAGCTGCTGATTGCAAGGGGTATGTTCGGGGAGCTGTTGATTTTCTATTGTGGGTATAGAATCACTGCTTCCTGATAAGTAAGCAGAGACTGAACAGAAGGCAGACAGATTCTAGGGAGTAAGTGGATTTAGCAAGCAAACAGGGAAAGCAAACAAGAGTTTGTTACTGGAGTGGGGGAAGAGTTACTAACAAATTTTCCTGAGCAAATAGTATGTACTTGGCTAACCAGAGAGCCTGAGAAGGGAAAAATAAGAAATAAAAGACTTTCTATGAAAATGAATGGACAGGACCTGGTGTTTGTGACTTTCAGTGCTTGTGGCAAATTTGTGTTTCTGCCTAAAAAGACCTTGCATGTATTTGCAATAATTCAGACTTGTAGTAGTTCAAAGTCTTAACAAAGAAAGGAGACACTGTAACAGGAACTGTCATGGGAAAATAGCTCTCCATAAAATAAACAAAGGAACAAGCCCAGTGGACAAGAATGGAGATCAGAAGCAAAGCCTTGAAAAAGATACTCTACACCACTGGAACTCCGAAACAGCTTTCAGATCTCAAAAAAGAGCACGTTCTGAGCCTTCAGTGGGGAAAAAGGGAGACATAATGGAATTGGAGCAGTAGATCCCTGAAAGGTAGGGAGATGCAATTGTTTGCTGTAAAAAAGGGAAAAGTAGCTGGTGACTACTGTGAGGAATCTAAACACTAGACCTGTCGGTTCATGAAGTGTGCTGTCGGTTCATGAAGTGTGCAGAGAAATGGGACCCAACAACTTCCAAGTTTCATCAAGTCTGCTAACAACTACCCCTTCCTGCTAATCTATGTGGAAACAGTTCATCATGCAAAGGAGAGCTACAAGTTCCTAGAAAGAAAATGAAACTCCTGTTCAACACTCCACTTCTATCAAATATGGATGTTTTCCACCTCTGTAAGCCTCAGGTTTATAAGCAAATATGGCCTAAGCCTGCAAATAAAATTTTACAAATATAGACAAATTAATGAAAAATGCAGTTTAAGGAATGATTACAGATTATGTGAAGGAGACACTAAAAGTGTTGGAAATAGACATTAAAACCAAACTGTGCAGGCTCACTTCCATAGAAATGACATAGAAGAAGAAGAAAGGGACATAGTAACCCAGAGATGCTGGTTTGGTTTGGTTTGTAAAATTAATACATATTCAAAAAGCTTATTTTGTACTTATTGTGGTTGACATGTATGAAAAATATTGTGAATAGTAACAGGAAAAAGGGAACTCATTGGATGCCATTTGTATAATAATAGTTCAGACTCTAAAAAGCAGATAGAGGCACCAACATATAATGAAAGAGGAAAAAAGAGGCAGAGAAAGTCTTCAAGTTGATTATAAAAGCAGGTGAGAAGATAACCTGCCACTAGTTGTTTCCTGTTACAGATTATTATTACAACCCAAAAAAACCCAGAATGTTGAAAACCAAGTTAAGGAAAATAGACTTAAAAAATAAGTGTGAATCTCTGATCTGGGTCTTGCTGTTTATTTAGTGTCTATAAAATAAAGACAAGTTATCCTGTTCCCACTTTCTCAGTTCTGCAGGAATTACTCTAATGGAAGAATGTATTCTTCCTTCCCTATCAGAAGAAGCTATTGGTAAAAGTTGGATTACTGCATCAGTGGTTTTCCAAATCCAAATGTTTAAGTGACTTCCACCAGCTCTTTGGTGTGGCTTTCTTTTATATCTCATCTTTAAAAAAAAAAAAAAAAAAGCATTATGCATAATATTATGGAAACATGATTATTGCATGCCCATATCATAGCCACCTCCTCTTTAACAGTTAAAGTTTGAACTTGGAACTGAGTTTTGGAAATATCAGCAAGAAAATAAGATGTAGAAATTTGAATTTTAGAGCTTCTAGTTTAACACTCATACTATTTCCCTTTTCAATGTTATACTTAATTACATCCAAATTTCAACAATAAAAGAACTACTACAACAGTTATTTCTCTGTGCTTTGTTCAACGCAAGAGAAATAGACTTCAGGTTAATTGTCAAGTGTTCATTGTTTCTGTTTAGGCCCTTATTGAGAACTTTGGCCATGATTGTTCCATCTCTTTTTTCCAAATTTTGTTTCTAAGTTGCAATCAGTGTATACTGCTCCCAACAATTCAGTAACATATTACATCAGGCATTATGTACATTACATCAGACATCTGGTAGGAGTGTTAGGTTAGTTATCCCTGCTTCCTACAGGATAGCTGCTGCAAAATAGTTATTGTAAAAAGGCTTCGTAAGTAATGTCATCTTATAATGTACTTTTTCTGAGAGCTGTTACAAAATTGCCTTCCTTTTGATCCTTTAGGTCCTTGTGTCTTTGTGCGTGTTTCCCTTTTAATAATTGTTTCCCTACACTTTTGCAACAGAAAGGAGGTGAAAAGCTATCATTGTTCCACATTTAAAAAATCCATTCACCTACAATTGTTTTGTAACACTGGATAAATAGAAAATGGGGAGGGGAATTTTTTTTTCCTCCTTCCTTTGTGCATGAAAGTACTTATAAGCTCACCAACATGGGAAGGATGTGTTTTTGAAGTGGAAAGATAGCCCTCCTCCCTACTTCAGTATGTTAAAAACAGACATAGATTTGAGACATTAATACAGTCTGTGCAAATCCAATTCCCTCCAGGCTAGGCTTAATGTCCTATAGGATGGAAGGATGGAATCTCCTCTCCCAGAAGTTCTCTGGGTCACATCTATGTCCCATCTCCTGCTTTGGGATAGAGAGCATAGTAGTTCCTTCTGCCATCACCTATCTTTCAGGGGGTACCTCACACAGTATCTACTGCATAGTGTAGAAGTGTGGTGTCTAGAGGATTCGTCCCTTTCTTCTTTCCTTGGGAGTTAGACCAAATTCAAAAGAGATAAACAGAAGTAAAGTTTATTTTTAAAAAATGATAAAAAGAAATCCAACCCAGTGCTCTAAAAAAGAAAAAAAAAAGATGGTCATTTAGGTCCAGACTTTGAAACATAAATACTTATTCTGGCATAAATGCATGCAATGAAATATTAAGGTATTGGTACCTGTAAGGTACTAAGCAGATGTTTGCTTTTGATTATTTTCCTTAATTTTTTTTTAACTTAGTTTGGAGTGAATAACTTTTTTTTTTAAATTACAATATAGCCAAATATATATTAGTGTAACAGGTAGAGTTTTGTTTTAAAAAATTGATAGTTTTGCCAATAAATGCATTACTATAGCATCGAGCAGAATTAAAGTAATGAGTGGAATTTTTCCTCCTTTTTTCCTTACAGATTTGGGACATAAGCGATGATGAAACACTCTGAAAACCTAATGAATGAAGTAAAAGACAACCAACAAGCCGACTTAATTTAGGTTGTGTTGATGTATTTTTATCAGTCATTTAATTATTGCTTCCTTAACTTTACTGCAAATATAAACATGTTCAGTCTACATCATTGATCAAGAAGGGACACTGTGACAGTCTCAAAGCAAACCTACTGTGGTTGCTCCTCTTTTTATTGTGTTCTTGATGCACATATAGTTGTAAGACACTTCAAATTAAAATTATTTCTCGTTTTTCAGTTTCTAAATACTTATATTTAAATTTTCTCTTTAGTAAATATCTTTGTATTCCCCCCCCCCCAATCTGAATGTTTCTTTTAAGTAAATGTTCACAATTAATTTGAAAAATACTTTTCAGTGTTTTAGGGACTTGTCACTACTGTGTAAGACTGAACCATAAAAAGTTACCCACACTGGGAATAAATAAAGAAGGCCAGCTGTTTTGAGATACAAAAAGACACTGGATCTTTTTGTCTTGATTACTGTCTGTACAAAGGGACAGTGTAGAAGCTCTATCTTCTCCCAGTACAGAGTTTTCTTCACCCACCCCTTGCTCATGAATCAGGGACTCTTGAAATAAACTGCTATGCAGACAGGAGAGGGGAGATTGAAGAAAATCAGGTACCCCAACATTCCAGTAACTCAATTGCACAAACAGCAATTTAGACTGAAGTCACCTAACAGGATAGTCCTAAAACAATTTCATAGATCCACCTTTTTGTCCATTTCTTTATAACCAGCAATGCAAATCTGTCATTTTTTAAATCATTTTAGGAAATAATACATTGGTCTCTATCCAAAGCCATACAACTGGTTCCATATACTGATAGCATCTGTTGACTTAGCTTTCCCCAAAAAAGAGTTCCCCAACCCATTTTAAGTGTTTTTTGAGATGGCCATGTGGAACATTTTCAGATGCAAACATAAAAGATCTAATGAGAGTCATGCAAATTACTGAAACTTTGGATCATGGTCACACTATTCAAATAATGTGCAAATTAATTTTCTGAAACATTTTTTCAGTGATTTTTCTGGACAGTGCTGTAGCCATTTAAAATTTAATATTTAATGTATGTGAAAAATGTAATATGGATATGTTATTTCCTATTTTTAGAAATGATATTTTTTTAGCCTCCCTATTTAATATCAAAGCAATGAAACAGTGACATAAAATATTCAGACAAAGAGACCAAATATTTCATATTCTTCAACATTGTATCATTTTCCCTTCTGTAAATTATAATCACAAATCTGAGGAGAGGTTCAGAATAGGCAATCCATGATATATTAATTGTTTAGTTTTAATGGTGCAAGTTGCTTATTTAATCCTATGTTACTTAGTTTATAATTTCTACTGTTGTTTAAGTTTATAATTAACTTTCCTGTTGCAGTATTTAGTGAGGAGCCTGGCTGCTGTACAATATTTCCAGTATTGTTTATTTACTAGCTAAATTTCTTGATCATTTAAATCTAGTGAAAAAGAGGAATTATTTTAAAGAAAGCCCAGCTTGTATAGTAAACCATTCTAGTAGCATAAAATTTAATTAGTACTTTTCATTTGTAAGTAAGACTTACTTGTAATTTAAATTAATTAAGGAATCATCTAGTGATTTTCAGGCACATTTTACTGAAAAAATAAATTCATACTGGGGAAAATCAGGACTTTACAGCTTGCTCTGAGTCACCCACACAGACGTCATTTGGAGATAGCGAGCAGGAAACTCTGTTTTGAAAATTTGCAGGCTTGATTAGTTGAGAATCAAAAACAGTTTGGTGTCTCCCAGGAATACTGTCCAATGAGATGTCTGTCTTGACTCTTGGATTATCAACTTTCAATTTGTCAACTGTTTTTTCCCATAGAGAAAAACCTATATATGACATTTTAAACATAAGGTAATATGATGTTTCCTTACTTAGCAATTCGAGTAACTTAGAGTTGTATAAGACTGAACTTGCTTCCTGCCCAGATGCTTCCCAGATGTCTGTGTTGTGCAGAAGTGCTCCAGTGTGACTTAGAAAATTTTCTGTTCTTTAATTTTATTGTTTTTTCCCTCTCCCATGACAAAACAGAATGGCTTGCTTGCTTCCAAACTTTTCCTTTTGTAAAATGTTGTAAGCACTTTAATTGAAGAGGACATAATGAAAGCTTTTATTCAAATGACTGCAATGTACATTAAAAGAACTTCCAAGCACTTTTACTCACAGCTCTGTATCCATGGAGAAGAGGCATCTGGCACCGCCCACACAGTTACTTCCATAATGGAAGAACTTAAATTTGAGCTTTGGAGAATGGGTATGGGCTTTTAAATGATTGCTTTTTATTTTGTTTTAATTTTGGGCTGGCATGGCTTCCCCAAATAAAGGACAAAAATCCTGAAAACTGAACGCTGTGTTGCATTCCTTAGGACTATGACTTGGTGTAAGCAAAAGGAAGTGATACTGGCTTTATTTAAAAGCATAAGGAAAGTATAAATGTGGTGACTTTTTGTACTCAGACCAAAAGTAAGCCTTCATTCTGCCAATGGACATTTTCTCAAGTATTAATACTGGATTTAATAGATCAGACAATGCAGTCTTTGGTCTTTCTGAGAGAAGATATCCTTTAGTTGAGCTTGATTCCTTGTGACTACAAGAACATGTCTGGGTAGTTCTCTTGGCAACAGGACAGGAATGGTTTGCTACTGCATTCTTCTGGGTTTATTCTTTGACTTCTCAGTCTAAGCTACAGCATTAGCCCTAGGATTTCCTAGAAGTTTGTTCTCTAAATATTAACTAGGTCCAATCCTGTTTGATTTTTTGAGATTAGCCAGGATTAGCTATTTGATGCCATCTGTTTGATCCATCTGGCTCAGTGCTAAATATTGACCTGTTTGATTCTGCTGGCCCAGAGCTAAATATGGACAGTTTTGCTTTAAGGTATCTTCTAAGTACTATTGAAATTCCTTTTTTAATTAGAGGTAATGGGCTGTAATAGTAAAGGGGAAGTAACAGTGCTGTGCATGGTATTGCAATGTCTGATGATCAAGATTTAAGAAGAGCAACAATTCTCTGTTCCATCTGATGGCAGAAGTAATTAAATAAGCTGACCATCAGGTGTCAGCTTCAAGCAGTAGTTATCTAACAATGTCTAGTTATCTAACAAAACACACGAAGGAGACACTGCATGTTAGTCAACTGAAGCTTCCATACACCCATCATAGATAGAGACTGAAGACAATAGATCTAGGAATATCTGTGAACCCCATGTGGAAGTGAAGATGTTGTGCCTGAAAACGGGGAAAAATATTCTGTTTTTCAAGGAACATAGCTGCCAATTGTCCTTTTTTCATCCTGCTGCTTCTTACCAAGCAGTATAGAAATGGAATGAGTGATCAAGCTAGATACTTGGGGTAGATGTGCCATCACTGTAATGGGAGTTGAGAATACATGTGAATACATGTGTTATCTGGCCCAGAATAGTAAGACACAGAATTTTCTCCAATGAATACTCTAAACAGTATCTTGCTCCAAATCCCACTCTGTTCTATTGTTGAGTTATAAAATGAATTGCCTCCAGTCTTTGGTTTTTACCAATTCTTTATCTAAAAATTATGACAACAATGGCTGTAAAATAGTACATTGAGTACATTAAAAATAAAAACTAAAACTATCAACATGTAAATAAGATTTATTTCTATATACAGGAGATATTTAATAATATTAACATTTTGTACAAAAAAAAATATGGCTGCCCCATGGAAGAAGTCATATGAAGTTGATAATGTGTGTGGCTTTATTTTGAAGCAGAAGTCCATTAGTAACTTCAGACTGAAGTGCTGTTTACTGACTAAGTATGAGCTGCAACAAATACATTTCTGTTGTGAGTGTGCTCAAGAGATTTTACAAATGACTTAGATGAGGGTAAAGAGAGAAAGAGTGAAATAAATACCAAGCACCATCATGCAATCAAGGACAGTCTACAAAGACTGATTGTCTCTGCTGTGGCCAAAGTTCCAGCCCTGGTGCCAAGAGATAGTAGTTTCTGCATTTAGCTATTTCATGGAGTGATTTAAATGGGCTCATAGACCACGATGAGAAATAGTCTCAAACAACTATATAATTTAAATTGTAATTGTGACTATAATAAGACAATCTGCAATGGCTGGGCTCACATAACACACTACGTACAATGTGATTTATTTATTTACATATAGTTTAGATAGGTTGAGCAGCTATTAGCTAAGGTGAAGTATGAAACAGGCCATCATGACTTTTTCAACAAGCCATAATTTGGAAGAATAACTGTATACTTTAGAGGTGCATGTAGTCACTATAGTAATCAAGTAAGTTGCCTGCCATTATGACAGCAAATGGAAATTGTGTATGTTGTAAGAAATGCACTGCATACAATATGGCAATTTTGGATTGGATCAAAACTTAGACATGTTTAGAGTAGACCCAATGAAATCAATGGGAAGTTAGATTTAGAGCATTTATTTTAAAAAATTATAAAATAAGGAATAAAGGAAAGCACTAAAATAGCAAAAGAAGATTAAAATTCACAACAGCACTATTATTAAATGGCCTTTGGGCATGGAAAGATGATAAAGATGGTGCCTGGCATACTTCACTAGAGAAGACATTCCTAGGTCCATCAGACCCACTCATGGGTAGCCAGGTCCCTAGAATAGGCCTTCAACCATGACCTAGGAACATAACAAAAAAGGAATTCCTTCATAGTCCCAAACCATAAATGGCTTTATGCTTAAAATCAGCACCTTGTACTGGGACCAGAAATGAAATGAAGTGCAAGTCAATGAAGATCATAAAGAATTCTTGTGATGTGTTTCATATCACCCAGTTCCAGTCAGAACTCTTGCTGTAATATTTTGTACTAGCAGAAGCTTCCAAACCATCTTCATGGGTAGCACCACAAAGAACACCTTGTAATAATTTTAAAAAGCTATTAGGGTATGGATTATTATTGTGAACCTATGTATATCCATATAGGGGCCAAAGTAGTGGAAGGTATTTAATGCCACAGAGATCTCTGGATCCAGAAGCATCCTAATGCTACAGCGTTGAGTGCGACCCCATCCAAAACAGATTATTCTCACCTTCTCTGTGCAGATGAACATCAGCTAACATCAAATCTGTCTTATCTGGACTAAACTTCAGTTTTCTGGCCCTCATCCAATCCAATCCATGATCATGATCACATTCATTTAGGAACTCAAGATGGCATATGTGGTACATCTTCCTCCTATTTTTATCCAAACCAACAACTCTGTGATGTTATTGGGCTGAGAGTGTACTTGAGAGCATAGAAAGTCATCCAATAAACTTTTGTGGCTGAGGGTGTACTTGAACCTGGGCCTCTCTATTCCTAGTCCAACATTACATCACAGTGGCTCTCCAGAGTAAGTATTTGAAGTAAGCTTATTAACTAGATGTATATTTTGTACACTGCCCTAGAGTCCTTAAGGATTGAGGTGTCAGTAAATAAAATCCAAGCTGAATGGCAGCCCTTTACACATAGAAGGAGATAATATCAGGGGCATAATTGGAGTGGCAATCTATTTAATTTAATCTCCCTTCCTGGCAACCCTAATACTTGACTTGACTTGAAACGGTATAGCCTCTGCATCAACTTAGCTCAATTTTTAGTTCTGTTTTTTTTTGGTGGGGGGGGGCTATCAGAATGCAGCTTAGTGGGAATAAAGATGTATGGTTTTTATGCATAATAAGTATACAGAGAAAGACTGTTGTGTTTAAAAGTTTTTACTGAAAGCTGCCATGTCCCACTTGGATCCCCTGCCTAATATTACTGTGATTACATCACCTTTGCACGTTTGAGTTCTCAGGCATTCTACACAACAATATCCAACCTTGCTTTCCAGCTTTCCACAACCATCTCCCTTTCTGGCTTTCTGCACAAGTTCATCAGCTATGGCCCTTTCATTGGCATATCTTTCCTTTTTCCATCCTGGTAAGCAGCAAGCCCCAAGCAGCTCCAGCATATTTATTGCATCTTTTCTGCACCACCACTGTTCTGTGACTTTCTCTCAGCCACACAACTGATTCAGCCACAAAACCCCTTCTCTTCCTTGTTTTCCTTGAAGAAGGCTGTGCAATTTCCAGATTCTGCACTGTGGTTAGTATGCCCTCGTGCCGAAGAAATATAAATACTAAACCAGTTAAATACTAAACTGGTTCTAAGAACCGTCATTCTGAAAGGAAGCTACAACTAAGGGCGAGGCAATGTGTGGCTTGACCTCTCAGTGGACTGCAACTTCCATGGTCCTTCTTTGTGTCAGCCCAGCTGACTAGGGCTAATGGGAATTAATTTGTGGATGCCACAATCTGGTCACACTAGTTTTAGTGTGACGCAGGAGTTCACCCACACATGGGTACATGTGTGTAAGCCCACACTCTGTTTGCATTCATTTGGCTCGTTCTCTAGACTAGATCACGCAGTTAACTGCCAGACTGTTGTACATTCAGAGGGCCCTACCCTGAATAGGTAACATTTCCAGGCATAGATGGCATTGCAAGTACATGACTGCCCCCTTGCTTTACAAAAAATTGCCCATGAAGAAATGGGGACCCAAGGTTTGTGTGCCCACCTCTTCTCCATACTTTAATTTTAATGGGAACAGGCTAATATGCTCATGGGCTTGACTCTGAGGCATGGACCATGTGGAAAACTGTTACACTACTGTTCTATATTTGGTGGACTGCATAGTTATTTTTCATCATTCTCATACAAGCACAAGAAGCGATTCTTGGTAACAGTTACTTAGGGTTGCATGTACATTAGATACGGTTGCCTAACTTGCTGTCACAAGGCAAACTTATTACCATCATTGTTTGTTCCTGTCCCTTGAATGGCACCATTCAGTGTGGAATCCTGCGAGGGCTCCACTCCTTTGCTGGATGGTTGCTTTGGATCACAAGAGGGGAACGGTTCAGTGCAGTAATAGGACAGGAAAGAATCTTGCATTTTTCTAAAAGAAGGATCTGAGGAACCAGAGTAGGGAATGCAAATGGAACCAATCATAAACATGAATTTGGGAGCGGGAGGTTGCATTTCATTCCACAAGCATGAAGAAAAAAATAACCAATATCCTCCTTTATGACAGATGTTTTATAACAAAATCAGTGTGACCTCTAAAATGACAGGCCAACAAGGAACAGTGCGGCCAGTCATCCATCATGCGAGGGGCTGAAATGGCCTCGTGTCAAATGGATGAAGGGTGCTGGAATTGAGTCACAGCTTTGTCATGAATTTCAAAAGTCTATTGTAGGAGTTGTGGTGGCGATGATGTTTTTACTTTTTGTTTTTACCTCTGGACTGTCATGAATACCCAGAATATCAATTTAGAATTCCTCCCACATATCTTGTTACAAAGAGAGAAATTTGTCAGCTGGTATGAATATCAACCGAAGTATTGCCACAACGAATGAATAAATTATATTATTGTGCTATATGAAGTAGTAGGCTCCTAAATGTGTTGTTAAAAGACTTGATGGATCAGTTCCAGTAGAAATGGCTGCTCATCATCTTTCAGCCATGTTGCCAAGTCCAAGGAATTGGACTCCTGAATCAAATTATTTTCTATCATTTCTATATCTTATGGTCATTTGTCACTCCCATACATGAAGAATGGAACACAAGGCAAAATGTTCCCTAAATATAGAAAACTAGAAAGTGAGAAGACCTAATATTTTTTCTGACGTGCTAGTTTTCTGTTGTATGATGGCGGTTCTTTCCTATCTGGTTCCACTGGCAACATAAGAGGTAGAGCCTGATTTCACCCTTTCATCTGCTGTATCTGAAAGCTCAGTCTGAAAAAGTACACTAGGGAGACGTGACCGAGTTGGCTGGCACTCCTTGATCCGTGAGCTGACAATCTTTGGCCTTGGCTGACACCTTCTTCCTTTATGATTTATAAATAGGTAGTGAAGTTGAACTGCACAATCACACTTTCCTCCTCTCATGTACAAGCTTTACAAGTATGTGTAAGCCATCATCTATAAAGATTAGAATGTGGAAAGAAAAATATAATTAGAAGAGGGAGGAGGAAAATATTATTATCTTCTCTGGGAGCAATCAAAAGCTTGGCTGCTGAGCTTCAAGACAAAGGGACTGTGACTGCAAAACAGCATGTGGTTGGGGAAAGTGTTCAGTGTCATCTACTGGCCTAAATTACTTCTCTCTACTCTCTAGAGCATGCTGGCTGGGGAATTCTGGGGGTTGAAGTCCACACATCTTAAAGTTGCCAAAGTTGAGAAACACTACTCTAGAAATACCTACCATGCACCAGCATCTTTGGGTCAGTTCAAAGGGAATGCGCCCCATCTTGGTAATTGCTGTAATGTTGCAAACATGTTAGCAGTTACACTATGACTAGCATGTGCGCTGTCTCTACTTGTTTACAGAGCTTTGTCCTCTGAGCCACTCAGGACAGAGATAGTCCCCTATTTGTTCCCTAATAGATCAGTCTAGAAAACACCCAAGACCCAAAACAGTTTGCTTTAAAAAAAAAAAAAATACAAGTCCACCGACATCTATGATCCACTGTTTTGGATGGTCAAGAAATGAATGCCTGAAAATCCTTAAGTTGCTTCATTCTTGTTTTGTTTCCACTCATTATAAGAATACTTCTGCTGTATCCGTGCCTTGCTCTTTGTGTATGTATATACAGTATATCATATCTTGGGAGCTTAACTTGTACATTCTACTGCCAACATACATTAACTTTGAAGGAAGCAGCACTTTTTAAAAAGTACTATAAGCACTAGACTGGTTTGTATGTCTGTGTTACATAGAGGAATGTCCTCAAACCTCAGCTCCTTCCTCAAGTTTGTTTCTGTATTTATTTCTTATTTGTTCCATCTACTTACGTTAAGAATCACAGGCCTCTTGTGTAAAAATGGAAGGTATGCAGGAGCAAAGTGTTTAAAGGCAGTGTACTGCTGAATGATCTCCCCCTCCCTATCATCTGCTTTGATTCTTGATAATTGACAGGACTGTAATTTAGATTATTTTTTTTTCTACGTCATGGATTATTACTGGAGCAGAGCAATTCCTTTTGAGATGGCACTGAGTCATAGAAACGTCCTGTAACCTGCTGTTTCCTGGCGATAATGTGCTTGATTCAGCATTCCCAAATAATGCAGACTTAATGCAGAGCAGGGGAATGTAAACCAAAAGTACTAACTCTCCTCTGCAATCTTGATGTCACTCCATTATTAATCTGAAGTAGACCCTGCTGCATTTTGGTGCACTATGGGGCATTTCAATTCAGTTTTTCAGCTGAACAGGCCTTTTTCTTAGGATAACATCGTTCTCCTATAAGTTCTATAACTTAGGATTTTACATACATAGTGTTGTGCAATTGTTTTTCTGTTCTTTGCAGTCCTTTGCATTCAGAAGTTGGCTTTGCTTTGTTCAACATAAAAATGTTGAATGTGCATAAGGCAGAGCTGCATGTAGCTACTATAAGACAAAATATGGCCCTGTTCACACAGCATGCTCTGCCATTTTGTGATTTGTTGGGGTTTGGCTTAATAATGGTGAAAGCAGCCAGTTATGGCTTATTCAATAGATTATAGTTAAAAGATAATTTAGCCTGAAATGTGAAGCCAGTCATAGGCTTATCATATGCTATAAATTCCAGATTCTGTAAACCCAAAATGACAGCTGCTTTGGGATTGGTTAATACTATAAACCTGTGACAGTGAGTTATGGAAGATGCTCATTGACTGAATGTTTCGCTCAGTATGTCATGTGAACACAGCCTGTTCAGATGAAATGGACCAGGCATCTAAAATCTGTGTCTCATTCTTCAGTTCTCGATCTTGACCCAAAAACTTCTAGGAAGGCAAGTGGGTAGCAACACAGTTGCTAAAATATGTGAACTGAATCCCTACAACTGTATGAGGGACACACCAAAGAACATAATCTTTGGGGGAGGAGAAGGAAGAACTTATTTAGTTCTTATTAACTAACTTGTGTATTAACTAACAGTATTAACTAATAAGTTAACTTATGAGATTTCCAGAAAGCAATACATTGTATTGCATGATATGAAACATTCAGGTAGCTTGAAATAATACAATGGTCTGACTGATAGTCCAAGAAATAATAATTGTCATTACTGATTAACATATCTGAGAATGAAATATTTATCTATTGTGAGATCTCAATTTAATAATGCGTTTTATTCTAACCATTATGGTAACATCCAGTAACAGATGTTTTCTGTACACATTATTTGAAAGGAACCACTTAAAGTATCTTACCAAGTGACTTGGCATTGTTAGCTCAGGCAAGCCTTATTACAATTTAAGAAAACCAAATACCACATGTTCACATCTGTAAGATTTAAGAGCACTTTATTGTTCATTAAGGCTACTTTTAAGTACAAAAAAAAAAAGATGGCCTGCCAAACCTTTTTTAAAAATTGCCAGGTGAAACAAGGCCACAAAAGAATGATATGTTACAGATTTACAAACATGGAGAACATTGTTCAAGCTGGACTGTAGATCCTGTGGCTCTGTGAAAAAAACTTCATGTAAGAATGAGGTTAATATCCTTCCTCCTTCTCCTCCCCCTCCCAACCCTTTTGGCTTTCAAAAAATAATTCTATTTCCCTTGGACTATTTTTTTCCCCAAATGGTTATATATATACTACACATCACACTGAGACGATAATCCTCAGCGCACTTACTTCAAAGTATGTTCCACCACAATCAACACAAGTTTATGTCCAAGTAATGTGTGTTAGGACTGCAGTGCTGATATTTTGTCCCATTTACCTATCACAGATAGGTAAATTTAACTTTGTAGTATTGTGCTTCAAAGAAATGTCAAAAGAGTTCTGTATCCCACAACGTCCATCTGCAGTCATTAGTACTTTCTTGTTAGACCGCTCAGTAGCCTGTAGCAACAACACACTAGTGGCTATTAATTGCTAATGCAGTGTTCTTATAGAATAACTGTGTTCCTGCACTTTTACTGTATTACAGACATCTACAACAACAACAACAAAAAAAGATCAACTTTTTTCTCCAGACAAAAACAAAAGAGAATGATTACAATAAAGGAAAGGGAAAAATTAAATAGCTACATATCATTAACAAATTAATTGTTCCTCAAAAAATACCTACAAATTTCTCTGTACATTCTTTACGCACAGCGTAATGATGGTCTTAAAGTTACCTATATAAAAAAGTATTTTTTTTCTGCACTTTTCTTACAGGGGGTAGGGTACTAAATGCCAAAGGAGACTGAGCATTTAGTTACCCATTAACATGACAGTAAAATGTGTGAAAGGGGCGATGAAGGAGGAGCTTCTCGTCTTTTTCCTGCTTTTAAAAGTAGGCAGCTACACTTTGTATGGAACGGGATGAAACAGGTCCTTTGTTGATCTTTTCTACCCTGCATGCTTTTCATTTTTACAAAAATATAAATTGTGGCCCCAATGCTATAACACAGTCCAAAACACATCATGTGCACTTCAGACTTTTGCCTTATTCTACATGCTTTCAACAGCATCTATCTAAGGTAACCCACTATTAAAAGGACTAATTGTAACTGCTGGAATGTGCGGGGGTTGTGGGTAGGTATGGGTGAGTTGTGACATTTAAAAAAAAAAAACAGCTGAGCCCATTACTACTAAAAGAAGTCTATTCTTTATGCCTGCCTCTATTACCTAGTTAGTGACTATTAATACAGCAAATGAAATAAATGCAAGTAACACCTTTATAAAAAAAATAGAGGAATGTATGGTGCCTTGGCCTAGGTTTATAAGCAGCCTCAAAAATTAGATTCTGAAATGCAATCTGATGTTCAGGCAAAATATTTAACAAGATAATTTCTGCAACTAGAGCGCACACAGATAAATATATTTAATTTTAGTACGTAAGTTTACATTGAGCAGTTGATTCTCCACATGAAAATGGTTTCTTTTGTCATGAATGCCATAGTAGCATCCTGTATCTCACAGCACTCAATGATATATAAACTGCTTCAGTTGAGGCCTGACCAGAGGCGACTGTCCAAGGTTGCTGGCTGCTACAAAAATGAATATCAAATACAAGTATCAGAGTACAACTGTACCAGCAGTAAGTTTATCTAGGACTGTTACTGGAAAAAAAAAACAACTAGTTCTCAACAAAGGCTAATAAGTATATTTCTTACTGTCTATACATTAATAGATACCAGCTATTTTTCCATAAAACATGCATCTTTAAGCACTATTGAACCCTCTGACCTCAGCTCTATTCTAACAAACTGCAGTGTGAAAAAAAATTAAATGCCCATGTTCTGTTGATTATGCAGTCCAGTTGCAAGCACGAAGCACCTGAAATCTACACCGAGAAGACCTATAACCTGTATGAGACTTCCCCTTCCTAAACAAATGTTGCTTCTTGTTTTCAAGAGGCAGAGACACCAGACACTTTTGCCAAGCAGTTTGCCCTCAGAATAGAAGCATCGTGCATAAAGTTGCTATGCAACTCTAGACCTCCTCCAATAGTGCAAATCATACATGACAGTTCTTTTCAAGTATATACATACAAAATTACTTCACAAAGGGAGAAGAAAGTAATGGAGACAAAATCCAGACACAATTCTACCCTCAAGAAGCTAATCAAAGCATACAAGCATTTAGGACAATGAACTGTACAGAATGGCTTTTTTTTTCTTTTTTTTTCCCCATTTACTTGTGTCTATATTTCATTTTTAGAAAAGGGGGCAGCAGAGTTGCATCAGAGGTTTCTTTGGTAACTGAGGCAGGAAAAAAAGAGTGCTACATTATTAAAAAAATATTTTAAAAATCAAATAGTTCCTGCTATCAATTTTAAGGGCATGTGTATTTTTTTTAAAAAGCCCAAGCAAACACACACAAAACATGTATTGAATCCTTATCTCCTTTTATATCATCCCTCCCAAACACTTTTTGTTTTGAGCACTGTTCAAGCTCAGCCAAAACAATACCAACTCATGTTTGGATGAAGAAATTGTGGTCCCGTGTTCATGAGACAACCGAAGGTGAATGATTATGATTGACCAGATGGGAGGAAGGAGGAGAAGAGGATTGGCCCCTCCTGGAAGCAGACTCAGGACTATTGGACACACCATCCTTCGCAGCTTTAATCTGAAGCCAGGTATCTCCAAGAGCTTTGGCAAAGTGGTCATCGACTGATCCTGTGATGGATACAGAGTTTGTCACTGGCTCCGGCTCCTTGTAATTCTTGCCAAGGCTTCTGCGGAAGTGTTCTTCTACCACTGGATCACAGGCAGCAGTAGCTATAGGGGGAAATGCAAAGGCCCATTAAGAAATGGACAAACTAGTGACTTTCCATATGACCAAAAAAACCCCTAACTTCCCTTGCAGCTGGTTCTGCTTTTTAAGCACAATTGGAATAAGCATTATTTACTTCCTAATGAATGTATGTATGTATGAATATTATGCATGTATTGTTATATAATGCCGTGAACTGCTGTTTTAATGGAAATGCTTTATTAGAAATGCACTGTTCAGAATATTCTTCTATTATTGGTATTTTCAGGCCTTGTAAATTAGCTAAGAGGGAAAAAAAGCATGTATATTATTGTCATTTTAAATTATGTCCTGAAAAGCCAAAAACAGCTGTCCCCAACCTGGGTAACCTCCACTTGTTTAGACTTCAACTTCCAGAATTCCCTGGTCAGCAGGGCCATTGCTGAGAATCTTGGAGGTATGCAGATTGGAGAAGGCTGTCAAAACATGTGACTGAACTGCTTCCCTGTAGATTGTTGTATGCTCACAACACTGTTCCCATAGAGAATAGGAAAAACTGAAAATCAGAAAATCATGTGGGTTTTAAGAAAGTTCCAAAAAGAATCTAAGAGATGTTGAAGCTTTTAAAACCAATTCATTGTGCACAATTCTTTCCTTTGTACTTCTTGTTCGTGTTATTCTAGACACAATAATAAAGGCATTTGAATGTTTTCTCTTCAATATATTTTTCTGGAGCCAATTCCACATTATGCTGTCAAATATACACAAAGTCAAGGGAGTTCAATTCAGATCTAAATTAGCAGCATCTACGTCCTATTAAAATCATGTGAAAAGTTGGTCCCAAAATGAAGTTTACCATTACTAAGTAGGGCTAATTGTTCTACCTTCTGAATCACAAGGAGCTGCTGGGAAGCAACAGTAAGGAGGAGGGCTATTAGTCTACTATCCATTCTGCTGAGCAACTAATATGCATTTGGCTGTCCGCTGGCTGTTACTACATGCTAGACTAGATGGGTCATTGGCATAATCCCAAAGTGGCTTCTCTTACATTCTTCCAACTTCACTTCTGCTCCCCACAAACCCATTATTTTGATTATCTATATTAGCCTTTCAATTCAGCTCTTTATTATCCTACATAACTAATTGTGTATGTCTAGTATTATTGAAAATAACAAAGATAGCAGACTTAGGAAAAATGCACGATATCAAATCAATAGAAGTCCAGATCTAGTTTTCATGCACAAAGATTATAAATAATATTCCACTGGGCAACCTAGATTTTATTCCATCAATAAATCTCAAAAATTCTGACACGGTTCAACAAAAATAGGAAGATCTTAATAGTTCTCCTTTAGTACATTATTACATATTTAATTTGCAGTGTACTTTCGCCCTGTTTAAAATAAAAACAAAAAATGTTTATGTTAATTCATTACATTTATTAATAGTTATTTAATGACCACATATAATGGTCCTTTTGGGTCCCTGGAAGGAAAATTGTGGAAATAAAGTGTCACTTACTGCTAGATGGTCTTCGGTAACTGGTTGGCATAGCAGCACCACATCCACTGTGAGCAATTGGACAATGAGACAGGTTACAGTTACGATTGCTTGCAGAGGCACATGTGATTACAGATGGACGGTTCTGAGGATAAAAGAACAGTAGAAATCGTGGAAGTTCCCCAAAGAGTTCTTTAACACAGTGGTTACAATTACAGAACAGGTGCTAGGGAGTTCTAGGAACAAAATGTGTAAAACCAACTGATGAACACATTTGTATTCTCCCAAATTCATAATAGCAATGTTTTAATAATTGAAAATAACAATCTGACAAGATTTCCAGATCAGGCAAGGTGTTACAAAAATTGGTAATAGGTAACATCTTCAGTGCTAAAGTGCTTTAACACTGAAGATGTTACCTAGCCGGGTAATGAAACATTTGCAAGAAAAGAACCAAGCTCAGAGACTCCACAGTTTTCTGGTTACTGCCAGGATGAAGAAACAGTCAGAAATTGTTGATTCCCTCCCCCCACCCACAACTTAAAAAACAAAACAAAAAACAAATCTCATTTCCATTTTTAGTTCCTTAGTATGCAAAAAACCCCAAAACAGGCCTGTCCTGCCTACAAGCATCTCAGACCACAGCTCTCTTGTTCGTTCAGCTTGGACCAGCCTGAAGGGAAGAGGTAAAAGCTGTGTCTGGGCCAAAGGGTGTCCTGCATAATGCCAACCTGCCTCTGACCAAAAGAGGCAGTGGCTACAGCACTCTTACCTTCCCATCTGAGTTTGAAAAAGCAGCTTTTTACCTGAACACAGACTGCAGGTGAGGCTTACTATACCCACATTCTGTGCCTTGTGGGGGTGGGAATTCTCACCTGCAAGCTTTTGATTGGCTACTATGGCCAGAATTCTCACTAGCAAGCTTTTTGCTGGCCTCTGGTAATGTGAAATCTGAACTTGAGATCCAAATCCAGAACTACCAACTTTTATGGCCTTGCTCTTATTTATACAGATTTATTTGCTGTATTGTTATGTATTTACTTCTACTAGGTCTGTGCAGTGCCAAGGAAATAATTAAAAAAAGGTGCTTCAAAGAGTGCGATCTGAGAACTGATTGCTTTAAAAAGTTGCAGACAGGAGCTCTGCTCATAACCCCATGCACTCTGTGACATCTTTGGGGCACTGGATCCAAATCACTGTACAGTCCTAATTCTACTGCAACCAACAACAGAAGCCCTCTTAAGAATAGGTTACCCATAATCAGAGCCAAAGCCTTTATGAACTTTAGCTATGGGAACAATACAAAGAGAGCAGACACACAACATACAAGCATACTGCATTTAACCCAAATTCAGATTGACAGAAAATCAGACTCAACTAGTAAGGAAGAACTTGCAAGCAATACTGGGCTGCCTGAGATATTCCTTCACAAGACTGACTAAAGTAATTGTAGGTACCAATTCATATCTTAATATGTAATAGTGAAAGGCATTTCAAATAACCAAGTTACAGGAACTAAGGAAAACTATGTGGCTTGGGAAGAAGCTCTTTGCTCTTCCAGGTCATCAAAAATACTAGCAGAGAAGGTGCGTGCATCAATCTAGCAACCTGTTTGGTTCTAATATTCAGATACGACTGCTTTATTGGATTATACTAATAGTTTACTTTAGCCACGTATTACTATTTTTTTTAAACGATAATGATTTCTTAACATACTCCCCAGGCATCGTATAAGCCATTAAATATTATTAAAACATTGAAACACATAGTAATACACCAAATACACACCACAAAATAAGACATCAGTCAATACTGGGATAGTTAATAACCAAAAGGTCTTCAGTGTAATATCCAAGCTGACACAGAATGAAATTATATTTAAGTTCTACTAAACGGTTTTTAAAATCTGGCTATAAACATGATAGTCATCGTCCAGTAAAAACAGTTCTTCTGGTATTCTTAGATGGCAGATCTGATTGCCATGCCAAGAAACAATAGTAGGAATTATCAAACAGCCCTAATGTCATAAGTGGAAACCTCTCCCTTCCTCCCTTCCTTGTCTGTCATCAATAAACCAACTATGCTGAGGAGGTAGAATTTGCAGAACAGCAGCAATTGGATTTGCACAATGGATTATACTACATAACACACCAAATGATAATGTAAAAGACAAAAAATGTTCAGGTCACATCCCAGTGAATAACGCCTGCAGGGAAAGTACAAAACGCCAATCTGTGCCAAATAACAGTTAGAAGGCCAAAGAAACACTGGTTCAGCTGAGTGAGAAGCTGAATCATTATAATTTCTAATTTAATGCTAATTTATTTATCGTTTATAAGTGGGGAAAGATAGCTGTATGGTGTTCTGTTGTAAGTCACAAAGAAGTATGTTGAGACATGAGTTAGAAAGTCCCTGCTGTCATCAATTGCAACTTCCTAACTTAGCAGCAGCTTAAAAAAAATCCACCTGGAAAAATAGTTAAAAAATAATAGGGCGGATCTAATTTAGGTAATAAGATAAACGTGTAGAAATGTTCTTAAAGGAAGCAAAAAATGACAGTAATGCAGGAAAAGAGTGGCAATGTCTACAAGCACATGTGCTAATTTATTTCACATTCAACAAGTAACTCTGGAGCAGGAACTCATACTACTCTCCAAATAGATGCTAGGAAAGGGAGCTTATCAGTTACAAAGAAGGTAAGATGGTGACAGTAGCTCACACAGCATTGGCTAGGAACTCAACAGCTTTTTGTGTCTAGGGGAAAAACAATATTTGTGATAAATATTTTTCATGTGCCAACTTTTTGTTCTTAAAACAAGTACCTTTTATCATACGCTCTCATCTTTTGTCTGGCAATAAAAAAAATGAAGATGATTCCAAGGCTCGTGTTAATGAGTCATTTTAAAATCTTTCAGAGTTACATTTAATGGCCTTACCAGGAACTGGTGAATTGCTGGTCAGCTGAAACTTTCATTCAAATGTACAGATGGAAGTTCTGAAGCTGACTGCAATTTGAGGGAGGAAGGGAAGGAGGGGGGCTATGTTCTTGAAGAGGATGACATTCCTACCTTTCCATGAATAAAGAAATCAACTGGTTTGCCATCATCTTGTATGAACTCAAGGTAGCATTTAAAAAGAAAAAAGAAAAAGCATAATTTCTCATCTGTCTGCTCCAGTACAGTAATACCTCAGTTCACAAACGCTTTTGTTCACGAACAATTCGGTTTGCGAACAGCAGCGTTCACAAAATTATGCTTCCGTTCGCGAACTCCACATCGGGTGACGAACACAACCCGGCCATCTTCTCTGCTCTGACACGTGGTCGTGGCTTCCTCTAGGCGAGATTGTGGTCGCAGACAGACACTTGCTGTGAAGCTT